TTATGCTTGTGAATATAACTTTTGGAATGTCATATAGACATAGACATATCATTGTCAGAGACAATGGACTACAAACCAGGTAGTAAACCATATAAAATGTTCCCCTATATCTTCTACAAAACCATAATAATGAATAGTAATAAAAACATTGTGACATTTGGTCAGCTGGGAAAATCCCTAATTCTTGCCAGAATAAAAAAATGAAAGTATGTGCCATTTTATGTGTACCGTATACCATATATGTGATCATTTCAATAAAATGTACCTGCAGACAAGTTCGTCTTGGGTTGAAAAATAGATAGGCATGAACACTTAACGTTAAAGATTTGGACTGAACCAAATTGAAAAAAAAACAAAATGTTACTTTATCATACCTTAATGCAGGTATTAGATGTCTGCATTATCTAGTGCAAATACTTCCTTTGGAGTGGAGTGGATTGGAGTGCCTCTTTTGGGGTTCATGCCAAAATGCAGCAGTCATTGTCATGCTGAATACAAGGAGTACTTTGAAAGTATCAGACATTTTTCTCAATTAAAAACTTCATGATGCTAATCTGATGTCATAAGAAGCTATAGGACAAAATCTGTGTTATCTTTAGAATTAGGGAGTATTGAAATGTCCAATAAGTACAACTAATTATTAGGAAAACCAACAATATGAAATTACTGAAAGGAATCACTGAAATCAGGTCACATTATCCATCAATTTTTTTCTACTTCTCGCTTTTAGTGGCTATATCTTTGTATGTTCCTTCATATTATCCATCTGCATAAGAAAATATACAATTCAAGACAAACATACAAAAAATACATTCTACCAGTGTCTCTGTCAACGTGTTGCAGTATTTTTTATGCTGCATAGTTAAAATCAGATTGTAATTCAGTTACATAGATGGTAATTTTGTTAATTACTTGCCCTACAAAGTCTAAACATGAGTGTGACAATGTGAGTGATCTATTTTATTTCTTTTTTAAATTAATTATATTGCTAGCTATTCTAATTACTTGGGGAAAAACACAGTTTGCTATTTACATTAACATGCGTTACTTAATCAAAATAACATTTTTCTTGTCAACCTCCAAGAACCAAAATCGGAGTTCATGATTTTAAACCAATAAATAAAAATTATTCCTTTTACAATTACTCTTTGTATGTAAAATGTAAAACCACCGGCCACTTTGGCCAAGTGGAAAATACCACGCAAGAGCACTCCCACACCATTGCTGCCCTGCAAAGAGAGGTGAGGGACATGCAGCAACGGAACCAGGCCTTTGAATGCAGGCTAGATGCCCAGGAAGACAGGTGAACGCAGAAACACCTGAAAATCAGGGGAATCTCTGAGTATATACCAGCGGCTGAGCTCCCACACCTCACCCGGCGCCTCAAAGCGGCCCTACTGACGCCGAAACAAGCAAAGGCAGTATCGCTAGAAGGAGTCTTCTGAGTTCCAAAGCCTACCAAGGCACCACAGACAATATCAGGGAACCTGGTGGTGAAGTTCCAGAGCCTTAAGGACAAGGCAGTGGTAATGACAGCCATCAGAGGGCACTCATCCTACAACTTTGAGGGGATGTCATTGGCCTTTTACGCAGACCTCTCCGGAGGGACCCTGGCATGGCGGCGAACACTACACAAGTTCACTCAACTCCTGCAAGGAAAATTTTTTACCTACCCCTGGGGCCAAGCCCATTCGCTGCACGTCACACAAGGAGACTCCACCATCATAATCCATGACCTGGCCGAAGCTACTACCCACCTACAAGCACTGGGCCTCCCACCGGATTCTCTGGGCTCAACAGTACAATCGACGGGACACCAAAACCCCCATGCCTGGGACACAGCGGTCACCGGGGACTTTGTGCCTAGATGCACCACTCTGAACCCACAAGTCAGGACTATTTCTTAATTGAGCACACTTTGCTGCTTCCCAGAGACACCGAAGCACAATTCCCACACAACCCACTCCACCAGTCGCCCACCTCAGGACACATACCGCTCAAACAATCCCCTGATGGCTGACCTCACGATGCTATAAATGCACCCCCCCCCGAAAGCCACAGGGTAATTTAGGCAAGTTAAATTCCCCCTACGACCTGTGCAGCGGGTCTCGCCCTTATTAGCAAATTATAATGAGCAGGCCTACCACTTTAGCTCTCACTCACCCCCAAAGATTAGTTCACCCCCACGATCCTGCAGTAGACCCAACCGCACTGTAAACACCACACTAGGGACACAAGACCAACAGAAGCCTACAGGGGGGCACGAGAAAACCCCTGTGATCACTTGAGAATTACCAACCCCTGCACGGACAGAACGCTCCACAGGGAACTGGTAAGACACTCCGGTACGAGCAATGGTAGCACCATCCCGCTTGGGGAGGGGGCCCAAGATCCCTTGCTGAGAAGAGACACCCACTCATTGACGAGCCTAGACCGACCAACACATCCTTCCACACCACCAGTTAGACCACACGATTAGTTAACGTTTACACCTAGTAATCCATTGTTTACACCACTTTCAAAAAACAAAAATATGCACTGTTAACCATGCCTAACTATTACTGATCTATGTTGAGCCATTTCCGGCAACAGCTGTTGGGGCATTGCCAGCTCGATTGTAATGTTTATTCTATGCACCATAAATAAAGAACAAAAAAAAAAAAAGAAGGTATTGCATAACTTGTTAACAATGACATTTAGGCCTGTACTTAATAGTGTAATTTGTCTACTAAGATTAGACACATGTTGTTTAAACTGTACGATGTCCATTTGAGAGGTAGCATAATTATTCAAGATGCTTGCCTTTTTATATGTATACTACCAGGTGGTATGTGTTACACACTGAACAATATATAAATACATGAATAATTAAACTCCCAACGTGACCAATTTCACTAGTTACTGTCAAGAATTAAGGCAAAATATATTGCATCTATTAAAGAAGTCATAAATATAATACTTGATAATAAAAGATATGAACAGGCACTAAAACAACCTTTTTCTACAATCTGATGTATTAAAACTTCAATAGGATACATGGGAAACTGAAGTGAAAAATAGGCTTCATATATGATTACCACACACACTGTAGACATGATATTGTAAGGTATCTATGAAAACTATTTGAAAAGAATTTAAAATAATCACAAAACTCAATACATCACTACAGCCTCATCTTTAAAATTTCATGACACAATGCAGGAACACTTTTTGAATTTACAATTTTGGTGCACAAATAAAGCATTCTTATTTAGGGGCAAGTTTTATGCTATTAGTTTTCAAATGTACTATGTAGATGAATAAGGTATCTTAGATACATGTACATTCCAGAAAAAGGTCTAGGTCTAGTCTTAAAACACAGACTTGTCCCAGCATTCACCATTTCAGGTAGTGTATACTCCATTACTGAAATCCTCCTTTATTTCCTGCTATCTACATACGCTGTGGGTTTTTGCTTATCATAAACTTAGTGAGAATTCAAAGTGCATTTCAAACTAGAAAAATTAAATTTTGACTAGGCCTAAAATTTGAATTTAAGCCTGTAAGCTTGAAATATGATTCTGTAAATTGAAATGCACACCATTCTCTCACATAATTATATAAGCACAGCTCCTCAGACAAGGTCTAAATATATAAGCCACATTGTTCTAAAATGGTTATAGGGCTAGAAGTGTCTGTTTTACTTTTAAATTTCATCTTAACCTCTGTAGTTTTGAGTGTTTCCCCTTAAACGCTCTTCTTCTTCTCTCCTCAAATTCTATTTAACCAATTACATATGTACTATTCATCCTATACATTCATCACACCATTTCTAAAGAGTCTTTCAATTAATCCTACCTCTCTATCTAAATATATTCACACATTTAAGGAGACTGATCAGCTAGTGTATTATCACTTATCCTGTGTCTGTATTTACTTGGGCCTCTGTTACAAATGCAAACAATGCAGTACAGTGAGTTACTAACAAAAACATTTTAACAGGCATCAGCAGATTGTCACTCAAATCCATTGTGAAAATATCAGCCTTGCTCTTTTAGTTCACTAACCATTCATCACATGCGGCCAGCCCCTTCATTAATATCCCACTACCTCCAGAAGGGTAGCCCAAAGAGTTTTCACTAACATTGCATTCCCTACATCTCCACTGTTGACACCAAAAACTTTCCCACCAACTGTCCATTGCAATCTATCATCACATGCTCCTTTTTTCAAATCTCTCTATATATATATATATATATATATATATATATATATATATATATATATATATATATATATATATATATATATATCTCGCTCTATCTTATCTATCCTCCAAATAACTTAATACTGAGAATTGGCATAAATTAAAACTTTGTTACATTTTTTCTACCAAAATAAGCAATAATTAGGATCAAATTCTCCACAGTCAGCAGAGATAAAAGGTCAACTCTGCAGATGAAAGTAAGCATTATCTATTATCTACAGAATTTGCAATTTACTAACTATTCTCAAAACTATATGCAAAATGTGCAGTCTTATTAGAGCCTATTATAGAAATCCTTTACAAATGTAAATCTATGAATTACATAGTAGAAATATATGCAAATATATGCAACATATATAAAATTACATTTGAATTAAATTCATAAAATGATTAGATATATCCACAAACCAAAGCCCTCAATAAAATGCAAGTTAAAATACTTAAACAATTAATACCTTTATGCACATATCCTAATATAATATATATTTTGTAACGTTAGAACCTATTCAGTAGTTAAAAGGAGACTCAATAATTAATGGATTCTGCATAGCTCAGCTTGTGGTATATATGTATATATATATTGTAATATATTAAATGTAATAGAAATGTTAAAAGAATTGGGGCGGGGCCTGACCTTCATGGAGAGAAGTCGCATGTCGGCTGAGCTCCGAGCTGAAAGCGGCAAATAACCTAGCTAATGACTACAAAATAGACGGTGCACCGCCGAAAACTAAGCATACCCCTGCACAACAATATGGGGAAACGATCAAAGAAGCTGAAAGCATCCTCGGACGACGGCACGCGTCGAATAGGAGACATATTCCTGGCGAGGCCTAAAACCAAAATGGCGGCAGCGCCAGACTCCCCACGCCTATCCTCGGACGAAGACCCACTGGACTCCCCAGATGCCATACCTGAGGCAGATGACCCTTTCTCCGCCGTGCAATTAGGGGACCTGGGGGCTCCCGCAACGAAGGGAGACATCCTGGGCCTCCTGAAACACCTGCGCACATGGTTCCGTACGGATATGGCGCTGCTCCGTGAGGAGGTAACAGCCGTGACGGACAGGGTGAAGGCCACAGAGGAGGATATCACCTCCATGGCACAATGCCAGACAGACGCAACAGAACGACTACAACAACTCCAAGGCTCACACCAGGCCCTGCAGGCCAGAGTCAATGCGATGGACGACTCTAGGAGACGAATCAACATAAAAGTAAGAGGCATCACAGAAGCTGTCAACGACACGGAGCTACCCCACTTTATAAGGCGCCTCCTGTCGGAGACCCTGCACCCCAAACAGGCGAAGAACCTGCAACTAGATGGAATACTCAGACTCCCCAAGTCCGCAAGGGCTCCAGCAGACGCTCCCCGCGATGTCCTCCTGAGGTTCCAGTCCCTACGCGACAAACAAGCACTGATGGACGCCATCAAGAACAAGAGCCCGCTCAAATTTGAGGGCTCCCAACTAACCTTTCTCCAGGATCTCTGCAGGGCAACGTTGGAGTGGAGACGTTCTATCAGCCAGGTCACCAAGACTAGTGATGTCGCGAACCCGAAATTTTCGGTTCGCGAACGGCGAACGCGAACTTCCGCAAATGTTCGCGAACCGGCGAACCGGCCGAAACGCCATTGACTTCAATGGGGAGGCGAATTTTAAAACACACAGGGACTCTTTCTGGCCACAATAGGGATGGAAAAGTTGTTTCAAGGGGACTAACACCTGGACTGTGGCATGCCGGAGGGGGATCCATGGCAAAACTCCCATGGAAAATTACACAGTTGATACAGAGTCTGGTTTTAATCCATAAAGGGCAGAAATCACCTAACATTCCTAAATCACAATCAATATGGATTGACACCTGACATATGACATATTGACACCTTGACATATGGATTGACACCTGTCCTCAGAGCCCCTGATGCACACTGACACAGAGCAGAATAGGGACTGTTCCCCTACATGGTCACTTGGCAGATATGGATTGACACCTTGTTACAAACTGCTATTTGTAACGGGCCCTTTAAATGGCAAATTGCCCTGTTTCCCTGGGTTGTGGAGAAGCCTCTTTGCCAGCCTCCTCCCGCATGACTATGGCCCCTGGGAGATTGTGAAAATGTATGCACTTTTATTTGGTGTGTATGGCCCTTTAAGACTGTCGGTGGGCATATTGGGGCTTATGGACTCTTTATGTGACTGGTGCTGGCCCTTTAAACACCTTTTTTGGGACATCAGGAAGATTGGGACACTGCCCTTTAAGGCCGTGTCCCCAGACTTGTTGGGGACACGGCCCCTTTAAGACGGTGTCCCCTGTGTCCCCAGACCTGGTGCAAACCCTTTGTGCCTGCCTTGCTATTTCCCACTTGGTTCAGTAAATGGGAAATTATTTCAGCTGCAGAGACTAAGTCCCATTCGGCGATGGGACTTAGTCTTTTTTTCAGCCGTTTTTTTCAGCCTTATTTCAGCTGCAGAGACTAAGTCCCATTCGGCGATGGGACTTAGTCTTTTTTTCAGCCTTATTTCAGCTGCAGAGACTAAGTCCCATTCGCGATGGGACTTAGTCGTTTTTTCAGCCTGAAATAGACCGACCTCACAGCCCAAATCTATGGAACTGTTTTGGGCAGGAAAATGTGCTTGCAGTCGGTCATAAAGGGACCTCCAGCTAACTTTTTAACCCCTGGATGGATTTGGCTGATTTTTGGTTATGTTTATGTTTTAAGTGTGCTGATTCCCAAATATGTAATTATGAAGATGGGATGTGTAGTTTTAAAGTTACAGGGTATGGCTAAAAACTGTATTTTACTGCCTGTGTTTAATTATGTCTCTTCCCAAAGTAAACACTAGTTCAAAGTGGAGAGAATGTTAAAAAAAAATATTTTTGTTCGGAGTGTGAGAAATGCTTTTCAGCCGCTTCTAATCTTAAGCATCATTTGAGGAGCCATACGGGAGAGAAACCTTATTAGTGGTGTGTTTAGTATTGTTCTGATCAGTTTAATACCTTCCGCGTCTCCGATCAGTGGGCGTGTATATGGCAGCCATTTTAGGAACCGTACACCTGGGACCCGAGCAAGGTCACCTCGTTCAACAGGCGACAACATTTGTCCCTGGAAAACTATCCTGGACATTCTGTACAATTTGTATGGATATGGCAGTGATTTCTGTAACAGGGAGATGGAAGAAGATGCTTGGTCGGTCCTCTTAATTCCAATTTGGGGCACTGCGCGGTCAAGCTAATGTGCCACTAGATAGTGGTGGTGTGTTTAGTATTGTTCTGATCAGTTTAATACCTTCCACGTCTCCTATCAGTGGTCGTGTACACGGCATTGATTTTTGTAACAGGGAGATGGAAGAAGAGGCTTGGTCGGTCCTCTTACTGCAAATTTGGGGCACTGCGCGGTCAAGCTAATGTGACACCAGATAGAGGTGCGGCGTGTTTAGTACTATTTTTATCAGTTTAATGTCTCCTATCAGTGGTCGTGTACACGCAGTAATTTCTGTAACAGGCAGATGGAAGAAGATGCTTGGTTGGTCCTCCTAACTGGAGACTGTGTTGCTGTACGGGTGGCAGGTGGAGCCATTTATAAAGTACACACTGCTTTATAAAGCCATTTATAAAGTACACACTGGCGGCTTGAACCCTAGTTGGTGGCTGATAAGTCACGCAAGTCAACAGGCATTCAGAGCTAAAATACAGCAGCGTGTGGACCATTTTTAGCCCAAGGCAGCCCATCTCATCAGGCCTTTTTTACATAGGGTCACTTGGCAGATATGGATTGACACCTGTCCTAGGGATCCCTGATACACACTGACACAGAGCAGAATAGGGACTGTTCCTCCTACATAGGTCACATGGCAGATATGGATTGACACCTGTCCTCAGAGCCCCTGATACACACTGACACAGATCAGAATAGGGAATGTTACCCCAACATAGGGTCGCTTGGCAGATATGGATTGACACCTGTCCTAAGGTTCCCTGATACACACTGACACAGAGCAGAATAGGGACTGTTCCTCCTACATAGGGTCACTTGGCAGATATGGATTGACACCTGTCCTCAGAGCCCCTGATACACACTGACACAGATCAGAATAGGGTATGTTACCCCAACATAGGGTCACTTGGCAGATATGGATTGACACCTGTCCTAAGGATCCCTGATACACACTGACACAGAGCAGAATAGGGAATGTTACCCCAACATCGGGTCACTTGGCAGATATGGATTGACACCTGTCCTAAGGATCCCTGATACACACTGACACAGAGCAGAATAGGGAATGTTGCCCCAACATAGGGTCACTTGGCAGATATGGATTGACACCTGTCCTCAGAGCCCCTGATACACACTGACACAGATCAGAATAGGGAATGTTACCCCAACATCGGGTCACTTGGCAGATATGGATTGACACCTGTCCTAAGGATCCCTGATACACACTGGCACAGATCAGAATAGGGAATGTTACCCCAACATCGGGTCACTTGGCAGATATGGATTGACACCTGTCCTAAGGATCCCTAATACACACTGATACACACCTACTTGGATGGTATAGACATTTTAGCAGCTCCTGGCCCGAACACCTGACCCACATAGGAGCCGTAATAGACCGGATTAGGGAGTCCGGACTGACCCTAAAGCCCAGTAAGTGCCATATAGGAACGTGTAAAAACCTCCCAAGATAGTAGTATGGGCCCCAGAATGTGAACAGGCCTTCCAACAGCTCAAGACGGCGCTCATTAAATCACCTGTACTTTCTTCTCCTGATCCAACTAAACACTTTCTCGTCCATACAGACGCTTCTATGCTTGGATTGGGAGCAGTACTGAGCCAAGTCGGAGCAGATGGTGGCTAGCAACCCGGGGCTTATCTAAGCCGTAAACTTTTGCACAGCGAAGTATATTCACTGCCATTGAAAAGGAGTGCATAGCGGTGGTGTGGGCCCTCAAAAAGCTGCAACCTACTTGTATGGATGATAAGAGTGGTGGGCCCTATGTAGGTAATGAATAAATAAATGAATCAAAGGGACAGTTAAGGGGATAACCCTAAATGGATAAATACAAAGAAAAAAGAGAACAGTACTGTCCCCGTTCAATATCGGAAATGGTCTCAGAAAATAGTGGATTAGAAGGATCTTTTATTAGTTGAATTCTCAACACACGCACTGATAACAGTAAAATCAGTGGTCATCGCTGCCCCAGTGATGGATAACTGAGGCAGAAACAAATGACTCAAACTAGTAAGTACTAAGTGAGGACTATATACAAACGGGAAGTGAAAAGGACAAAAAGTATATACAAAAAGAAAAGACTGGAGCACAGGTCACTGCGAACAGTGTAGTAGATAGCTCCCTAAACAAGATTACTATATGCACTATGTTATGTGTATAGACCAGAAAGTGACAGAGTAACTTATTGTTGGTTACCAGTGTTGAACATGATCTACACACATTGGTGCAATATGTGCAGCACACCTTAGAGTTCAAAGGAGTATCTGATGGTTAATAGAGTGGCTAGTTTATACACTGTATCTCTGCCGTCTCGTTCTATCTACGGTACTTGCACAAGACACCGAAAACCGGTGGAGTGAATGGGACCCAAGGCAAGGTTCACTTTGTAATCTGTGTAGACCAGAGAGTCACAGGGTAACTTATTGTCAGTTACCGGTGTTGGTCATGATCTAAGCGCCATGGTCCAATAAGTGCAACACACCATAGAATACAAAAGGGGTGGCTAAAATAGCTGATTAATACAATGAATTAGTGCCATCTCGTAATGTCTGCGACCCACCCGGACATTAAAAGTATCGAGTAGGGGTTTCATACAGCAGTCCGATACGTGCAGTCCACCAAGGTAATACCCCAAGGAAAGGGGGGCTATTGTGGTCTGCTATTAAGTACCGGAGAGGTATGTGAGAAAACAGATAAGTGCCCCATACAAACAAACAAATACATGTGAACAGACTAGTCAAAGCCTAGCAGAATCTCACAGTTGGATGTGGGATGTCTGGGTAGCACAATTACTACAGTACAAAGGTAGTGTCCTTTGGTTAACATATATAAAGATAGTAAATATAGACCCTAAGCTGTGCCTTCGAGGGCACCTATATCTAAAAAGAGAGTCTAAAATAACTGTCACATAACTATCTATAGACGGAGCAAAAAGTGCCCTAATCTGTGCCTTCAAGGGCACCTGTCGGTAGTGCTAATAGTTCTAGGCTAGGCTAGATCTGTAGAAAATCTAAATCTTAATCTTAATGGACTGTAGTCTGATGATCCAGCTGCAGTCTAATAGGTCCAAGAATCCTAGGTGTACCGGAGGCGGCTAAGGGTAAGATAGCACACCAAATATCGTCAGATCACACCTAATCGGATCGGTGTCTAGAGCCCCGACGCGCGTTTCACCAAACACACAGGCTCATCAGGGGGAACTCCCCGAACAGGGTGAGCTTAAAAAGGCCCGCCCTGTGTCCTCATTGGACAATTCGCTGGCATGATGTCATCAATAACATTTCGAAGGTACGGTGGCTCGGCATGATCAAAAATAGCGAAAGATAAAAACGCCTGTGTATCAGGTCAGCCGGAATGATTTTGTAGGATCTATGTCTAGAGCTCCATGCGTGTCAGTATCCAGAAGAGAGTGGATGAAGGTGGTATTATGGATGTTGGCATCCAGGTGAGGGTGCCAGACAGCGAATGGAATACCCGGTGAGGGTACCTAATCAAATGTTATGATATTGGAATATAATGTACCAAGGGTATCAGCCAGCGATAGATGATATATCATATATAGAGACATACCAATATGCATGTGAAAAAGAATGTTCTGTTGGCTAGAACTGTTGAGATGTTAATATTAATCACGGCACCTAAGGGTGCTGGTTAGTTAGATATAAAATGAGAAAGGATATATTGTGCTCTTCAGTGAATGAATGCTGTATAATTAAATTCTTCATTCAATCCTGAGGGGGCCAATGTCTTAAAGAGATAAATCCATTTGGATTCTTTTTGTAGTAAGGTTTTGTTAAAGTTTCCTTTTCTTTGATTGGGTATTAGTCTTTCAATTGCCTGGAATTTGAGGTTTTCTGATTTGCCTTCATGAAAGTTGGTAATGTGTCTGGACACCGGTGTTGGAGTCACAGTGTTATTGATGGAATTGACATGTTGGAGAATTCTTCTGCGAAACTGTTGGAAAGTCTTGCCAATGTATTGGGTGCCGCAAGTACATGTGATTATATAGATAATACGTGTGGTGCTGCAGTTCACCAGTGCATTGGTAGTGATGGTAATTTTAGATTGTGTAGACTGGACGGTTTTTGAAGGTATGATATACTGGCATGCCTTACAGTGGCCACACCTATAGGTTCCCTTGGTCTTTGATAGCCAGTTTTCAGGTGAGAGAGGTGAGGCCAGGTGGCTATGGACTAGGAGGTCGTGTAAGTTGGTGGGTCTGCGGGCTGTCAGCGGTGGGTAATCTGGTAGGCAATCCTTCAGAGAGGGGTTGTGAAGTAGAATTGGCCAATTGGTTCGTAATATATGCGACATGGTATTCCAACCTTGGTCGAATGTGGCGATACACCTGGGTGTCTTTGTTACCATTTTAGGTTTGGTCATGGTCAGGCTCAATTGTCTATTGATGCCACTGGCCCTTTGGAAAGCTTGTTTGAGGACCCGATTGGGGTAACCTAATTCTTTGAATCTGGATCTCAGGAGTTGGCATTCATTATAGAAAGTGTTATCTTCGGAACAGTTTCTTCTGGCGCGTAAGTATTGGCCAAAGGGGATAGATGCTTTTAATCTGTAGGGGTGGTGGCTCTCCCAATGTAGGAGACTATTTGTAGCAGTAGATTTCCGAAATAATTCGGTTTGGATGGTACCGTCTTCTGTAAGTACAATTTTTAGATCCAGGAAGACGAGTTCGCGTTCATCGATTACGTGTGTTAGTTTTAAATTAATCTCATTGTCGTTGAGGGTCTGCACGAATTCCTCAAAGATGTGTGTGGGGCCTGTCCAGAGGAGCAGCACGTCGTCAATGTATCTATGCCAGCTCAAAATGAAACCGTGAAATCGGTCAAATTTGGCTGATTTGACGACATGCTGCTCCCACCATCCCAGAAATAGGTTGGCGTATGTGGGCGCGCAAGTTGTCCCCATAGCTGTCCCAGAGATTTGCAAATAGTACTGGCCGTTAAAGATAAAATAGTTGTGGGTCAGTATGAATTGGAGGGCTGTAATGAAAAATTTCTTTTGTGAGTCATTATATGTGGTATTTTCCAGGAAGAATTGGCATGCTCTGAGGCCAAAGTGGTGAGGTATGTTGGTGTACAGGGCGACCACATCTAAACTAGCTAGCATAGTGTAGGGGGGAACAGTTTTGTCATGTAGGAGTTGTAGGGTAGTCTTAGTGTCCCGAAGATAGGAGGGTAGCGTTAATACAATTGGATGTAGGATTTTATCCATGTATTGGCTAAGGCGTTCTGTTAGGCAGTTGTTCCCTAATACTATGGGTCTGCCCGGGGGTGGTCGAATTCCCTTATGTACTTTTGGTAAGCAATAGAATGTTGCAATTGTTGGGTTGTTATGAGGTAGTAGAAATTTAAATTCCTCTGGGGTTATGATCTGAAGTGTCTTTGCTTCAGTTAATAAGGTGTCTAGTTCGTTAAGAAATGAAGTAGTTGGGTCCGAAGGAAGAGTTCTGTAGGATAATTTGTCATCTAGGTGACTCATGCACATGTTAATGTATTCTTGTCTATTCAGTAAGACGATGTTGCCCCCCTTGTCCGCCGGTTTTATAATAATGTCGTTCAGTGATTTGAGTTCTTTTAATGCTATGCGTTCCTGTGGGCTCAAATTGTTTGGAGTTTGGGGGCGGTGTGGGATCATTTCAAATTGGTTTAGAGACATTTCCACGAATAGATCTACATGAGGAGTATCTTTGAAGTTAGGGGTGAAATAGCTAGGCGGTTTGAAATTGGTGAGAGGTCTACGAGGATCCTGCTCATCTTGGAGACTGGTTAATATTTTGGATAGTTCATAGTCCTTTAGGGAGAGACCCAAATCATTAGCTGCCTGTTGGTCTTTTCTAGTATGCATGATATTTAAGGCAAGTTTCCTGCCAAATAAATGTATGTCTTTAGACCAATTAAATTTGCTACAGGTAGGAGTGGGTACGAAGGAAAGTCCTTTGCTGAGGAGGGAAATGTGACGTGTTTGTAATATGAAGTCTGACCAGTTAATAATTCTGTTATCGGTCATGTCCTTTGTGTTCGATTCTGTATTTTGTATGCCCAACGTTCCCTGTCCCTGAGTCTCCCCCGTTGCTGGCGGGGAGAGTCCTGCTCTAAAAAAGTGGCCGAGGATGTGGTGGACGGGGTGGTGGGGTTAATAGTTTCGAGGGATATCGGAATGTCAAGGAAGGATACAGATTTGGCAGTACCTCTGAGAATGCTTTTATTTTGATAAGGTGGGACGCTGGGGTCCCTTTTCCTGTCGGAGCTTTTATTGTTACGTCTGGGTCTCCGAGGTTGGTCTTGGTCAGACCAGTCAGTCTCACCCGAGGATGACCCTCTATAACTGTTGGGTCTCCTGTTATACTTTCTCTTTTGCCTAAAGATCTCGCCGCTATTGAAATCTTTAAAATCTCTTTGGAATTTATTGTGTTTTTTTATCTTTAGGTGTTGTCTGTAATTAGTAATGTTTTGCTGTAGTTTGTTTTCCATTGGGACATACAGGTTGTCAGATTTAAAGTTTTTTATTTTTGTGATTTCATTTTGCAGTTTAGAATTAGTTTCATCAAAGTTGGTGGTTTCTAATTTAATTAAATAGTCCATCAGCCGGAAGGAACAATCCAAAAGGATCGTATTCCATTCCCCAAGTTGTTCTTCGGTCTGGACTTTATCTGGCAAGAGAATATCGGGGCGTAAGCCCCTAGGTACTAGTTTTTGCTGTGAGTACTGTTTTAGACTGGTTAATTCCCAGAAGCTCCTAGTTTGTTCTTGATAGAGAATTCTCCAACATGTCAATTCCATCGATAACACTGTGACTCCAACACCGGTGTCCAGACACATTACCAACTTTCATGAAGGCAAATCAGAAAACCTCAAATTCCAGGCAATTGAAAGACTAATACCCAATCAAAGAAAAGGAAACTTTAACAAAACCTTACTACAAAAAGAATCCAAATGGATTTATCTCTTTAAGACATTGGCCCCCTCAGGATTGAATGAAGAATTTAATTATACAGCATTCATTCACTGAAGAGCACAATATATCCTTTCTCATTTTATATCTAACTAACCAGCACCCTTAGGTGCCGTGATTAATATTAACATCTCAACAGTTCTAGCCAACAGAACATTCTTTGTCACATGCATATTGGTATGTCTCTATATATGATATATCATCTATCGCTGGCTGATACCCTTGGTACATTATATTCCAATATCATAACATTTGATTAGGTACCCTCACCGGGTATTCCATTCGCTGTCTGGCACCCTCACCTGGATGCCAACATCCATAATACCACCTTCATCCACTCTCTTCTGTATACTGACACGCATGGAGCTCTAGACATAGATCCTACAAAATCATTCCGGCTGACCTGATACACAGGCGTTTTTATCTTTCGCTATTTTTGATCATGCCGAGCCACCGTACCTTCGAAATGTTATTGATGACATCATGCCAGCGAATTGTCCAATGAGGACACAGGGCGGGCCTTTTTAAGCTCACCCTGTTCGGGGAGTCAGTTCCCCCTGATGAGCCTGTGTGTTTGGTGAAACGCGCGTCGGGGCTCTAGACACCGATCCGATTAGGTGTGATCTGACGATATTTGGTGTGCTATCTTACCCTTAGCCACCTCCGGTACACCTAGGATTCTTGGACCTATTAGACTGCAGCTGGATCATCAGACTACAGTCCATTAAGATTAAGATTTAGATTTTCTACAGATCTAGCCTAGCCTAGAACTATTAGCACTACCGACAGGTGCCCTTGAAGGCACAGATTAGGGCACTTTTTGCTCCGTCTATAGATAGTTATGTGACAGTTATTTTAGACTCTCTTTTTAGATATAGGTGCCCTCGAAGGCACAGCTTAGGGTCTATATTTACTATCTTTATATATGTTAACCAAAGGACACTACCTTTGTACTGTAGTAATTGTGCTACCCAGACATCCCACATCCAACTGTGAGATTCTGCTAGGCTTTGACTAGTCTGTTCACATGTATTTGTTTGTTTGTATGGGGCACTTATCTGTTTTCTCACATACCTCTCCGGTACTTAATAGCAGACCACAATAGCCCCCCTTTCCTTGGGGTATTACCTTGGTGGACTGCACGTATCGGACTGCTGTATGAAACCCCTACTCGATACTTTTAATGTCCGGGTGGGTCGCAGACATTACGAGACGGCACTAATTCATTGTATTAATCAGCTATTTTAGCCACCCCTTTTGTATTCTATGGTGTGTTGCACTTATTGGACCATGGCGCTTAGATCATGACCAACACCGGTAACTGACAATAAGTTACCCTGTGACTCTCTGGTCTACACAGATTACAAAGTGAACCTTGCCTTGGGTCCCATTCACTCCACCGGTTTTCGGTGTCTTGTGCAAGTACCGTAGATAGAACGAGACGGCAGAGATACAGTGTATAAACTAGCCACTCTATTAACCATCAGATACTCCTTTGAACTCTAAGGTGTGCTGCACATATTGCACCAATGTTTGTAGATCATGTTCAACACTGGTAACCAACAATAAGTTACTCTGTCACTTTCTGGTCTATACACATAACATAGTGCATATAGTAATCTTGTTTAGGGAGCTATCTACTACACTGTTCGCAGTGACCTGTGCTCCAGTCTTTTCTTTTTGTATATACTTTTTGTACTTTTCACTTCCCGTTTGTATATAGTCCTCACTTAGTACTTACTAGTTTGAGTCATTTGTTTCTGCCTCAGTTATCCATCACTGGGGCAGCGATGACCACTGATTTTACTGTTATCAGTGCGTGTGTTGAGAATTCAATTAATAAAAGATCCTTCTAATCCACTATTTTCTGAGACCATTTCCGATATTGAACGGGGACAGTACTGTTCTCTTTTTTCTTTCTACTTGTATGGACAACCGTTTACCTTACTCACAGATCACAACAAATTTGGGGCACTGCGCGTGCAATCTAATGTGCCACCAGATAGGAGTGGTGTGTTTAGTACTATTGTTATCAGTTTAATCACTGTTACGTCCCCTATCCGTTGATGTGGAGCAAGACGCAGCAGCAGAAGAGGACTCAGCCGAGGAGGTTATGGAAGAGGATGGAGTAGAGGAGGTGGCAGCGTACTGGCAGAGTACACGCTGTAGGGCTGACACACCTGCTTGAAGATAACTAACTGCTATTCAATCTATAACAGTGAAAAAAGTTTTTTGTTTTTAAATCCAAGCTATTGTGACACCAGTGAGTGAGTGGTGTGTTTAGTACTATTGTTATCAGTTTAATCACTGTTACGCCCCCTATCCGCTGATGTGGAGCAAGACGCAGCAGCAGAAGAGGACTAAGCCGAGGAGGTTATGGAAGAGGATGGAGTAGGAGGAGTAGAGGAGGTGGCAGCGTACTGGCAGAGTACACGCTGTAGGGCTGACACACCTGCTTGAAGATAACTAACTGCTATTCAATCTATAACAGTGAAAAAAGTTTTTTGTTTTTAAATCCAAGCTTTGTGTCACCAGATATAAGTGGTGGCACTGGTCACCGTATCCACTGTTAGCGTAACACACCCGCTTTAAGGACACTGACCGCTATTCAATCTATAACAGTGAAAAAAGATTATTTTTTTTTTTAATCCAAACTATTGTGACACCAGATCTAATTAGTGGCACTTGTCAGCGTATCCACTGTTAGCGTAACACACCCGCTTTAAGGACACTGACTGCTATTCAATCTATAACAGTGAAAAAAGTGGGGTTTTTTTAAATCCAAGCTATTGTGACACCAGATCTAAGTGGTGGCACTGGTCACCGTATCCACTGTTAGCTAACACACCCGCTTTAAGGACACTGACTGCTATTCAATCTATAACAGTGAAAAAAGTGTTTTTTTTAAAAATCCAAGCTATTGTGACACCAGATATAAGTGGTGGCACTAGACACCGTATCCACTGTTAGCGTAACACACCCGCTTTAAGGACACTGACTGCTATTCAATCTATAACAGTGAAAAAGATTTTTTTTTTTTTAAATCCAAACTATTGTGACACCAGATCTAATTAGTGGCACTGGTCAGCGTATCCACTGTTAGCGTAACACACCCGCATTAAGGACACTAACTGCTATTCAATCTATAACAGTGAAAAAAGAGTTTTGTTTTTTTAAATCCAAGCTATTGTGACACCATATCTAATTAGTGGCACTGGTCACCGTATCCACTGTTAGCGTAACACACCCGCTTTAAGGACACTGACTGCTATTCAATCTATAACAGTGAAAAAAAGATTATTTTTTTTTTAAATCCAAACTATTGTGACACCAGATCTAATTAGTGGCACTTGTCAGCGTATCCACTGTTAGCGTAACACACCCGCTTTAAGGACACTGACTGCTATTCAATCTTATAACAGTGAAAAAAAGATTATTTTTTAAATCCAAGCTTTGTGTCACCAGATCTAAGTGGTGGCAATGGTCACCGTATCCACTGTTTGCGTAACACACCCGCTTTAAGGACACTGACTGCTATTCAATATATAACAGTGAAAAAAGATTATTATTTTTTTAAATCCAAACTATTGTGACACCAGATCTAATTAGTGCACTGGTCAGCGTATCCACTGTTAGCGTAACACACCCGCTTTAAGGACACTGACTGCTATTCAATCTATAACAGAAAAAAAAGTGTTTTGTTTTTAAATCCAAGCTATTGTGACACCAGATCTAATTGGTGGCACTGGTCACCGTATCCACTGTTA